TATTCTTCAAAGATGATGGGCAAATCTTTAGTCTCTAGATGTGGAAAGATGGAATATGGTAGCAGTGAAAGGTGGTTGTAAAGGTATTGACTCAGAGAGGCTTTTTCACATTTTTCTTCATAAAGAATGTTGAAAACATTCAGCCTTTTTCTTTCACTTTCAGTAATTAAGAATTGATTACCACAATAAATCTCAATACGACACATGGAAGTTTGTGTTTTTATGTGACGAAACATAAAAAGTTTTAAGGGTTATGAATATTTTAGGAAGGCAGTGAAAGTACTCAAAGCCGTACATTTAAAGGCCATAAAGCCTTTCTTCATTTCCACATAGCACTGACTGTTGTGGAACAAAATAGTGTCAAGAAAGATAGATTGCCAGACTGATTTCAATAAAATGCAGGAACAAGAAGCCAAACAATTATAAAAATGCCAACTAGAGAATATTTTACAATTGTTTATGACAAAGAAGTTTTTTGGGGGGTTTTTTTAACTGCAAATGTTTCAGTTCTGAGTTTTTCTTCCCGAAGAAGCTTTCAGTGCCTCATAAATTCCTCCAAAGACTCCGCTCCACAGTTTCATCTGACAATGCAATTACTTGAGTGGAATCTTCTGGAAAACTGTGGAAAGGAAAACAATGATGAAGCAGTAATCTAATTTAACCACAGCAGCTCCCATTGTTCTCTCAGAAAGGCCTCTTTTTGGTCTGAATCAACTCCTTCCAATCCATCTCTCCACTGAGGAATAATTGCTGTGCCAAGAATGAATCAGAATGATAATATTTATGCCATAGTCCAACACAGATAGGAGAAAATGATTTGTACAGCTCGAGCCATTTGGTGGGGGGGGGGAACCTCATAAAAAAAAAGCAGCGACTGGGTAGAGAAGAGAGAATCCAGCAGTGTTACATCTGACTTTAAATTCTTAATTTCTTCTTAATGTTCTCCTCTCAACTTCATTTTGCCTTTCACCTCCGTCGTCTTCAATCATTCTTACCTCCAGCTTTTAAGACATTCAGACTAAAACCTCTCATTTAACATCCTGCGTTTTCCTCGTTTGCCTGGCCTTTCTGAATGAGGAGCCTTCACTGTGGGCCAGCAGGTGTTAAACTTCCTTTTGAAGATTATGCTACACTTTCCAGACATTAACTCCTTTAATCTACCACCACAGGCTTTTGATAGCTCCCGCCGTGAATTATTATAGCTACTGATTGAAACTGGGAGCTGAGAGTGACAGAGGAGAGTGTGGGAAGGTCAAGTGAAAAAAAAAAAAAAAAAATTAAAGCTTCAGCTTTTAAGCAGCAGACGTGGTGCTTAGAGGGGCATTATTATGTATTTTCCAGGAACATAGTGCCATTTTATAGCACAATCAAATAGATATGTTACCTTGAGTTTTTAGAAAAATGCTGTTTATATCAAACATGACTTGACTAACACTCCGCCTTCAGCATCACAATGATTCTCATTAAGCCACTTACAACGATTCTTAAGTCAGTTTTCCATTTAACGCCATAATTTCTGAATTTATATCAAGTATGTAGAAAGAATGTTTTCTGTCAGTCAAGCTCTGAATGAATTAAGCATTGATAACTTAAATATTACATAAACAATTCATGCACATTAGGGTATGATGCTAATTAGCAACATTAGGGACATAAGGAACTAAATTCAAAAAAGAATTACTAATCTGAACTATGTAGATTATTTCAATGATGTGGCTATTGCTCAAACAGAACATTCAATTTGGACTATAACATATGGTTTGGAGCATGCTATGCTTTTTCAATATGACTGTATTTCAAGTACAACTAAGTAATCCCTTTACTCCACAGCCCCAGGTGGATTTAGCTTCTCATAATAACACTTAGCATGCACAATTGCAAATTCTACAATTTTAATACATATATCACTCATTTTTACTGCATTGCCTAATGTCAGAAAAATGCATTCAACCAAAAACTACAACCAGATTTTTTCACATGTTGGCGTTTTTAATATACAAATAGAAGAAGACATTAGAGAAGCTCTGATTATGACATTTTCCTGAGTTTATTTCCCAAAATATTCACCCAAGTGCATTCCTTCCCATGTCACATTCCTGCAACTTTTGGATGCACCAACTCCAACACATCTGAATCACCTCTTTGGCATGCCGGCAAGTTTTGCCAAAACCTATTCATTAATCACTCATTTGGTTCAGGTGGTTTGAAATAGGAATGCATCCAAAAGATGCTGAACAGTAGCACCCGAGAACTGGAGTTGCTCAACTTTTCTTTACAAAACACAACTAATGTATTACTTTGCATGGGAGGCACAAATATCAACTAGGACACCACTTTAGCTGTGTTCAAACATCATGTTTTGATGCCAATTCATTACATTCGCTCTAAATGTAGTTAAAAGAATGGACAATCATGCTCTATGGTTCCAGGTGACACATGATCACATCGTAGATTCTGGTTCATGAAGGACACCTTGTGGAGGTTTTCATCATGTGAAGAAAGGATGTTAAAAAGTCAGCTATGAAAATCAGTGAGAGGACTTACTGTGATTCATTTCTTAGTAGTGTTGACAATTCTATGTAGCCTGCCACCAAAATATGACATATTACGCCCATAAAAAAGTTGTAATAATGTATATGGAGCTACAGTGTACAACAACTTGCTCAAGTCCTTAAAATGCAAAGACACAAAAGAAACCCCTAAAAGCCAACAGTACTTTATTTGGGCGAGACAAGTTCTGAACTGAGGCCTCCAGCGAGCTCTAATGCAGAAAGTCGCTCTGCATGAGCTCTTCACTGACAAAGTTTCCCCACTCAGGCAGGACAGGACAGCGATTATTGCTGCTGGAGAAAGGAGATGAGCCAATGACGGCAGAGGACAGAAGGGCAGGGGTCTTATGGGGAAGAGAGTCCTTCTGTTTTGTTTTACTGCTGCCTCCAGGGGTATAAACCCTTCTCCAAAATACCAAGAAGCATGACAACATGGTAGCAACTGCCACCCAAGTTTGGATCAGACAAAAGGGCTCTTCAGTGCTATGACATGGTGGTTTTGGAAAAGGAAATTATGATCTGTCAAATGTGGAAAAACGGCTTAGTAATACTGCTCAGACTAAAAGGCGACAAGGAGAAAATGAACCACAAACTGGAAGGAAAACTGAGAAGTGAGCTTCTTTCCCAGTTTTCAAGCTACCAAAATAGAACAGAGGGTTTAGAGGTTTATGCTCAACATAAAGGTTAAGTGAAAAAAAACTTAAACTTTTTTTTCACTTCTTGAAAGGCAGAGGCCTCTTAAAGTAGTGGCAGATATTCTCTTTTTGTGTAAACTGCCCTCTTATTTCTATGAAACATAACATCAAAAGTTAAAATCTACACTAAAGTCGCATCAGTTGTGAGAATTGTGCAAAGGGAAAGCATGGAAGTGATCAGTACAGGGAGGGAAATGAAAAGAGGAAAATATGGCCACATCGTCGTTCCGCTTATGCAACATGATGTATTCAAGAAATAAATAAGAGGAACATAATGACAGGAATTGAAGATATCTTTGCCCTCTGCCAGCGTCCTCTGACGCAAATGCTTTAAACTCTGACAGCATACCTCCCAGCACAGTTCAAGCGAGAAAAAAAAACAAAAAAAAAACGGTGCAAGCAACCTACACTGTGCTATGCAAGGATCGTTATTGGACCAACAAGTAACAAACAGCTGAGGCATCTGGAGAACATGAGCAAAACAACCAAAGCACGACAGAGAGGAAGAATCTGTTCAACATTGTCTTTATTTAGATAAGAATTTGTGGAAAATCCAGCTCTTAATGGTTGCAAGTAAGTAAGTTAGGTCAAATATTTAAAAGCAGACTTGGAGAAAAACCTTGAAATGTCATCTTGAGATGCTCCACGTCATACATTCAGTTAAATAAAAGCAACTGGATTTGAATCTGCTCAGCCGCGACCACAAACACTCAAACTGAAAATGATAAGACAAAATAAAAATATAAGCAGTTTAACAGTTTATCATATCTGGAAAAATTGTATATATATATATATATATATATAATAATATACATTTTTTAAAGGTTTTGTTGGCTGTAGTGGCCTTTGTATGAATGTAGTTCGACAGGAAACAGGGGGAAGACATGCGGCAAACGTCGCCAGGCCGGGAATCGAACCTGCAGCTGCCACCACCAGAACTAAGGCCTCCTTATGTGGGTCGCGCTTTGCCCCTGTGCCACCACAGCACCCGACTGGTTCAAGTATTTTTAACAAAGCAGTAAAAATAATTAGCAGGCTAATGTTAAACTGAGGGAAGCTACTCAACTGTGAACACTATTAGACTGTAAATCCCTTCTGGTTCACACATCTGCCAGAATATTAGCTTCAAACTTTATCCCTCTCAACTTATCTATATAAATAAATACTGCTGCGTGTCGCTGACCAGACACAAAATCTATAAATATGTTAACCAATTAGGTTACCCAGCTAAATTAGCATTGATGACGACTCCATCTAATGAGGTAATTTCTCAGCTCTTGTGGATCACGTAACACACCATTCTGCACGTAGGCCACTGTGCAGAACGGTGTGCTTTGACCAGTTTCTGGTGCAGTAAATGGTAAATAGAAAACTACAGATGGAGTTTTGAAAACCACTACAAAATAACTGGCTGCCAGTGTAGTGAGTGCACTACAATCTTAAAAAGTTTATAGTGCACTCAGTCCAAATGTAGCTCTGTTAACACAAAAACAGCAACATGCACAACACAGCAGTAACTCTCTCCTACTATAAACACTATATGATAATTATACTTCTGCTTCATTAAAACCAAAGCTCCAAAACGAAAGCATCAACACTGGCTCTGCGAATTATGATTGAATTGTTTGCATGACGTATAATCCGTCATGCAAAAATCCCACCCATTCGTAAAATGCACGCACTTACAACGAGTCACAGACAATAACTTATAGGTAAAAAATAAATAAAAAATATATAAATGAACAGTAGATCTTACCTTGGCGACTGTGAGAGTTCATTGTTTCACAGGCTCGTTCGATGCACCTCTTCAGTGGATGTAGCGATCGTCATGTTCTACCCGTTCCAGAGGAGACTTCTCAGGAGGGCCAGACTGTGAGCAGAGAAACAGGGCAGCGTTTTAGACGTTTTCACCTATATTTGTTTTGTGTGACAGAATTTTCTAATAAATAGTACAACCATAAGAAGTAAATTGCAAGCCTGTTTTATTTATTAAGCAAATCTGGTTTCATTTTAAAACATCTGGGTTTACTGAAAGTCAGAGTTTGTTATTCTAGCACTCAATTCTGCTCTGGCTGCACCACACCCAACAGAGAAAAGGTTTGCTCAAGAAAAGTCTCACATCCACATGAGCAAAATAATTATACATATCTGCACGTTTCTGTTGAAGCTGTTTTAATCGCCATCGAATTACGAAGTAGGATTTATCAAATTTTATGGATTCTGCATCCATCGCATAACCAATAAAGCCTCAGAGGTCAGCTTTGGAGGTCAATGCAGAACTAAAAGGCTCTTATGTGTAGTGGATCGCGTAATTAAATCTATAAACAGGCTTCCTGAAGCCTGATGCATCTAATGTTTCAAAATCCCAGTCCAAAAAGATGAACAAACGTTTTCATTGAAAACAGACACACAACCACATGATTCTGGCATTCGCTGCTTAATTCACTTACAATATATCAAAGAATCTAAGAGTTCAACAGAAACATGACTAACATCATTCCAACAGAATTTTATTATCAAATCAGTCCTGCATATTTCTCAGTATATCATCAGTCTGAGAAATAATCTGAGACTTTGAATGAACTTGCATACTTTTTCTTTTTACATCATATTACATTTCTTCATATTTTTCTTCCAAGGAGCCAGACTTTGTTTTATTTAAGGTGGTCTTAACAGTTCTCCAGAAAGCTCTTCACAGGTTTTCATTTTGATGCTCTTTTGCTTATATTTACTCTAGTTTTTGAGGATTTCAGAGGATTTCTTGGTTTTCTCTGCTACAGAAAGCACACCCTGACCACATTTTAATTTAACCATTTATAGAGCAATTAAAGTCATTACCACTGGTGTCCTCCCCTTTCTTTCCCTGTTCTGATACTTTAGAAAGTGCTGCAGGCTCAGAGCTTTCTGTTTGTCCTTTCCATGTTGCAGCAGATGGCAGCTCATGTTTGCTGATGCAGAGGGCAGGAAAAGTTAGTGTTTGGGGATTTTTCCTTTCTTTGCAGAATGCATTTCTCTGGAAGTTTGCATAGAGACAGCTGTATGCAAATATCACTGTTGGCCTGTGATGCAGCAGAGAAAAACAAGCTTTGTCAGAGAATTATTTATCACAACTATTTCAAAATTATGTTCAACAGGCCCAAAGTATCAGGGGGTTATGTTTACTGTGAGTTATGGTTAATTAATCATAATTGCTGTTTAACTGTATGAATTCAGACAGGGTGTTTGATTAAGCACCAACTGTCTCTACAAAACATTTATCAGGCTAACCACAAGACTATGAGCTGCATGAAAACAGATTTTAGCAGTTTGTGGCTGAGAATCTCCCATGTGCAGCTGAGCACTAAGTACTGAGTTTCTGTCTTGACGAAATTTTCTTTCAATCCAGTGATTTGTTCCCATTGAGGAATTTTTTCTCCAAGGCATGTCATTAAAAAGACAAGAAACAGGATTTAAAGGAGGTGAACCTGGCACTCCAGAGCTGTAAAGCACATATTCGCCCAAGCCATTGTTGTTTTTTTACATGGAGTACAGTAGGGATGAGTTTCCCTTTATTTTGATTCATTTAAAACGGGGACAATACATGAACTGCAAGAGGAAAGATGAACTGTGCCAGATTGTAGCTCTGGTGATAATTTATAAATGTATTAATTGACAGTATTAAATTATAACTAGACTGAATAGTATTTATCATTAGATCTGAGTCTGGGTTGCACTGCAGTGACCTGGGTCAGTCTGAATTACATTTGGACTCAAATCAAGTCAATTTAATCGAAAGTTAATTTTGGAAGTTTGTCTAGTAATGAACCTTAAGGTGACATTTGTTGTAAATTGACATCATATAAATAAAGTCAACCGCAATGAAGTGATTGTAGCACCAACAAGGTGATTTTCAAAAAGCTATTAGGAAGAAGAAAGTTGTTGTCACACGAGTACCGTCTGTATGGAAATAAAAATGAATAAAGTTTGGTCTCTTCATGCACAAGAAGAATCCAAAAAAAGACAGAAACAAACAGAAAAGTGAATTTTAGGCAACTGAAGTCAAAGCAAACATTGGTGAGATTCTGACAGATGGAAATTGTTGATGAAGAGCAAAGGTCTTTGACATGACGACAGCTGCTTGTTTACTCTGTCGTGTAATTTAGCCTCCTCATATATGTGCTTTTGTCTAAGAGCAAATAAGAGGTCTAATTTCTTCAACGAAAACACTAAATTTTTAACTTAGGCTATAATTAAACTGTCAGAAATTTATTTCCAAATACAGCACCTCTCAAAAGTGAACACACGATTCCAGGTTTGAGACAAAAGAATATGATAAATTATTACAAAATGTTTTCCATCGTCAGTTTTCTTGTACAAACTGCGCCTTTAATGACAGGACAAATACAGGCATAAGAAATCCTACAACATTAGCTAAACTTATTTTCAGATTAAAACACTTTCTTTACAAATCGACAGCAGCTTCATCAAAGAACTAGTTTAAGGCTGAATAACAATCCAACAAAGTTACTCCATTTTTTTTAATTTACCTATTCTCAAACTGATTTTGAAAACGTTTTTAAATTGTTTATTTTGATCTCAAAATCTGGCATTCGAAAAGGATTGCCTTCACTTTTGAAATCTTGATATTACACTTTTCACACTGTCCATTATTACCAAAGAAACAATCTCCCACTTAGGAATACAGACTTATTATATACAACCTGCAGGAATATGTCAGCACTGACGTCAGACATTTAGTCCATTCAGTGGCTCTATTTGCTACACGATGCCCATGCATGCATGCGTAGGTTTTATTTATTTTATAGAGTTTGCCCTGTGATGTAAAATGACTGCTGGAGATAGCCACCAACGACCTTCCACGGATAGGTGGGTGTAGACACTGCATGAATGGATGCAGTTTAATCACATCCAAGTATAGTAGAAGTACTTTTTCCAGCACCACTGAGTCATTAAATACATCTTCGGCGTCTCTTCAAACTCTCCATTTTGACAGGCTGAGACTTTAAACTGGATGTGGTTTATCGTGTTCCTCTGAAGTAAAGTTTCATGATGCTTGACAGAAAAACAGCTCCGAGGACCTCTTAATGGACTTTATTTCCCAGGCACTCCAAGCGCTGTCGGGAGTAATCTCCATGGCATAAAAATAACGTGCGGTCGGATAGCGAGAAGTAAACAACAATTAAGCACACCCCTTGCAAAGCTTGAGAAATGAATCATTGAAAACGCGTGTATGCCAAGAAGACTGCTTCAGCCTCTCAGACTTGATTGAGTATGAATTATTCAGATGGTGAGAGAAGACTGGTCGTGTGCCAAGGACTGAATTGTTCTTCATTTTTCTTTTCTGCAAGTAAAAACGGAGAATAGTCTACCTAAAATGAAAGAAAAAAGATTCCTCAGAGTAACTATTGATGAGATGCCAAAACTCAAAGTGAAATATGTGATAAAAGAATAAAAATGGATAACAAAGAGTGATAATAACTTTGCTATTTTGGATTTCACAGGATCGATGATGAATTCTCAGGAATCAGTTGTTGATAAAAAGAAACTAACAGACGGATCCCATACCGAGTTCAAATCAAGAGCTCTTTTCTTGTTCATACTGATATCTAACAGCCTTCATCAGCAAACACAGCAATCTGCAATGACAGACAGTTTAAAGAGGTAAAAACACTCGATTTCACTACTTCTAATGACCAGAGATCAGTATTTGTAAGATCCGTTTATTGTGGGCAGGGAAAAAGAATTAAAGTCCAAGACACTGAGAAGAGTAAAAATCAGAAGTATGAATACAATGAGTACCAATAACAGCAAAAACATTTTAAATATGAGGAAGTGGAATTGTTTTTTTGAGCCTCTCTTGCTGCTTGGGAGCTTAAATGCTGACAGAGGGAGTTGCATAAAACTATGTGAAGCAAGGCATGAGAGCTCTCAGGTTTCTCATCTACAGTGAAAATATAGTATTTACACAAAAACAAAAACTATAGCTACGACATAATCTTATTTAAAACAGAAAAGCAACAATCACTCCAACTTCCACTGATCTTATAATGTTATACATTCACAGTCTGTTCTACACAAGTTTATCTTCAGCCAGAGATTTCTACAGATCCACTGTAGTACAGTAACTTACATTTAAGTGTTTTGGTGGCGACAGGCAGATTTTGGAACAAAATCCAAACGATATTGATGTGTTCATGTCAATCACACAGTGGTGAAGATCTGCTTCTTAAGAAAATCAAAACATTTGCTAACTTGGTTTAATCAGAATCTACTTTTACATTAAAAATACATCATCTCTAAAATCAGATGAGTAAAAACCAATCACCGTGTCTGTTCTGGTTACCGTAAAGTGCTAAAGCAGACGTGACAGCAGGCTCTGCACATCCAAGTGAGGAAACCTTCCCCAAAAACACCAACTGATTTTACAGCACCAGGGTGGGTTCAAAGTCAGGACAGGGCACAAAGGAGCCAAAATGGGTTTATTACTCAGGATATGAAGTCCAACAGGATGGAAGAAGCTGGACGTGGGAGAATGATTCGCAGCCACGGACTCACTGGATGCCTACAAGGATTGACACAATGACCCATCAGGCCCCAAATCAGATCAGTTGAGGCTGAGAGTGTCTGTATAGTTGCTCATTGAGAGGTCTGAGACCGTTTTACTGCTTGGATCTTCCTCTCGTCTAATTTTACTGCATCTCTGGCTGACGTCCAGCTTCCTTTTCTTCACTAACTTGGATGAAAGCCAAATCCAAAAACCAACAGAACTAAAGAGAATTTGCTCCTGCTGACCGTTTATATATATATATATATATATATATATATATACACACACACACACACACACACACGCGTGTCTATACCACCAGGAAGAGTTGCAGGTACTCGACAGACGCTCCTGCTTGTCTTCTAAAGTACTGTGTGTAATCGAGGGGCAGACAAACAGACGAACAGAGAGGAAAACAAAAGTACTTTAATATCCTGCATGGTGAGCTGAATGGGAGACCCCGCCAAACTGTTTACAAATTCCTGCTGGGTGACAGAGTCTCGCCACCTTTTTTGTCCCAGACCACAACACTGGCACTAACGGACCCCATTAGAGTTCATTAGTGTGATAACATCAACAAACTGTCCACAAACAAGTAAACCTCCCCAGTGCCAGCTTGGGCCAGACCAAACACAGTGGAACTGAGCTAAATTATCTTGTTAATGGAATTAGAACACGCAAACTGAACTGAAGCAAAATTCGAAAAAAATAAAATATTTTTTTAAAAAAACTAAAGTTGAACTTAATTTTAATATGTTTGAGAGTTTTAAGCAGAAAAATGTGTGGGAATGTATTGAAGTTTGTACAAACATTAAAATACATCCAGGTTAAAATAGGATTATTTGATCAAGTTAAAAACAAATATCTTTTTAATCAGTTTTACTGTACTGCTCAGTGGGCATCATATGTCACAACAACAAATATGTTGTAGGTTATGCTTACATGAGTGTCCCGGATTAAAACCAAGTTATTCCACTAAGTCACTGTAAAGGTTCTGAATTTTCAGCTAATTTTGTCCAATAAAATACACAGCGTCCACCGGGAAGATTTCGATTTAGCAATTAAACAAATTCATGCACTGAAAAATGCATTTCATTAATATTTTACAAATAAGAAATTATCTAAAAAGAAGGAAGAGCCAATGATAAAAAGGGCCAAGAGATTTTACAGTGATAGATCCACTATTAACAGAAATGTATTTGTCTAAAATTATGCAGTACATATAATTTCAATAGTTCATGCTGAAGTAAATTTAAGCAAATATAAAATAATCTGCATCTCTGAAGTAATATTGACACGTTTGCAATATTTCGGTAATAACTGTGATACTGTCAAAGTTAAGAAAATTGAAATGTGGGCTGGGCAGAGGAATCTCCCCAAGATTGTAGCTCATGGTTTCTTTGACATTACTTATTCTTTGTTCTCTTTTTTTTTTTTTTTACTTTTTCAGCTTACATCTAAACTTTAACAGTGATTAGAATTAAGAAAGAGAAAGAAAGATGTGGACAAGCTGACGTGCAGTTTGGGTGTGTAAAGCAGAAAGTGGTTGAACGAGGCCTTCAGGTCCTTGGTTTTTTGTGATCTCTGTATAATTCACACAACGAAGTGAGTTTTTAAAAACCTCCAGTGACCAGAAACTCTATTTACACATCTATGATGAGATTAAAACACAGGAGAAGATCCTGTTTGAACAAAATACCAAATTAGTATGGAACAGATCTCAGAGTGTGTGCGGTGGGTTATGCATTCACCTCAGTTCTGTAAATCAACTCAATAATCACCTAGAGAAATCTTAATAGTTGCACCACAGCTGCAAGACATACTTCACATTCCAGAAATAGCATGATCACCAGACAAAAATAAGGAAGTGATTTACATACTCGTCAAAGACGTCCAGGAATGCAAATCGCAAACCGCAGTCACGTTAGCACAAACAATTTGTTCCAATATTTTAGTTAAGCATTTTTAAAATATCAAAGCTAAGACAGCCAGACATCAGCAAGGTTGATTCCTAAAGAGCTGTTAGCTGAAAACTTGGCATACATTAGATGGATGACACAGCTAATGGATTTTCTGTCCTCTTTCTTAAAGACGTGACTTTTAGATACTGAGCAACCAGTGGAGAAAGTTGGTCTCCTTTCTTAGTTCCAAGCCGTCACAAAAAACTTTCCAAGCAAAACATTAAGGTCTCAACTAACCGTAGACTTAGATATGAAACTGAAAAACTGTGGCTGCTCTCCTTCGGGTATTGAGTATCAGACAGTAAACATACGTGTGCGTGTGTGCGTGTAAATGCAGAAAGTTTGCCAACTGATGATTTATTTATCTGTGAAAACGTTCAGATATTTTACCACCTTGATTCTCTGCATATAATCAGAATCAGTGTGTTCTTCAATGAGCCATAATGTCTGGAGATGTTTCTCACTTTAACTCGGTCTAAAAACGGGTGAATTCATCACACCGGACCCAGTGCAACATTTCTTCTGACAGAGAAACTTGGTGCCAATGTCAGTAACACAAGGTTTACAGCCAAATCTACAGTTTGTAGCTCACTTTACTGCTTTATATCTATTGCTTCAATTTTCATCTCTGAGCATAAAAGCAGCATCTGACGCAATTCAAGTTTCATCTAATTCTTTGGTTTGTCCTTGAACATTATGATGTTATATGTATAAAGCACCAACTTTTCTCGCTTCATCTTTGGCCTTTAACTCTCCTTCCTACGGATCGAGCTCATCGTCGCTGTCTGGTAAGTGATTTGTTGCTATGGTTCTGCAGACCAGTGGCGTTTAAATTTTTGTTACGTGGACCAAAGGGTGCGTTCACACTGCAGCCTGAAGTGACCCACTGCCAGTAAATGCGACCTGTATGCGTTCTGCAGTGTGAACGGGCAAACGACCTGAAAGTGTCCCGCATGCGCAGCAGAGGGCGCCATAGCGTCAGCGTTCTCAGTGTTCTGCCAACTGCCATAAAAAGAAGAAGTGCTCAGTGTTTGCGGAAGTAAACATGGAGGCTAACGGTGGAGCTTAGCTTATATATTTGAAGTTGTTGTCCAACCAGAGCAGCATATTAACAACTTAATCCTCATAGTCCGTCATGGTTGTTGTTTTTCTTCCCACTTGCGCCTATCAGGACGCAGAATAGTGAGATTTGTTGAGAATCAGTGACGTTCAGTTCGGATGAAGGCGACCTGAACGTTAGGTCGCATTTGAATCGGATACGTGTCGGATATGGATCACATCCGAAAAAGATGCTGTTCACACTGCCATGAAAAGACCGGATAGAGGTCACACTACGTCAAAAAAATCGGAATTGGGTCACTTCAGACTGCAGTGTGAACGCACCCTAAATCACTAAGTTAAAAAGTGAGCACGATACAGTGGACCCCCCCTAATTGTGGCTGAGATTTGTGGATTTTTCTGCAGAACATAACTCCAAATTATTATTTTTTTAGAACATATCAAAACACAAATGTAAATGCCAAGATGTTTTCCCCTGTTAGAGAATTGTGATATTAAGTTTATGATTATTATATGATTTACATAATTTTAAACTTCTCATTATTTCATTTTTTAATGCATCTTAATATGTATTTTCTGTTTGGACTACTAACACAAGCTGTTCTAACCATTTTTTTTTTTTTTTTTTGCTCAGCAACCAGTGCAGAAAATGAGTTAATCGCTCTTTAAAAGCAGTTTTCTTTTTGAGCCAAGTTTAACGACTGAGAGCACAGAGGTTTGCTTTGGAGTAAAAGCTGCTTGGTTCAAATTGTAGTTCAAATTTTCCATTTCATATAGATTTTAACTTCTTGCCCTAAAAATAAAAAGAAAGTGTCCACCTGCCTCGACAGCCAGGCAAAAATTTATATGGTAACTGATTCATTTTTAACTCACCAAAACTAACAAAAAGAATGATTGAAAAGTGTCACTATGTAAAATCTTCTGAATCAAGTTACCTCTATTAAATAGCTATTTGATGTTCCTATTACTATTAATCATCAGAATGACGAGAATAAAACAGGGAACCAACAGGTCAAACCTCACAAGAATACCAGAGAAGTTTGAACTGACCAGGAAAAGAATTTACTAGTTAGATAATATTCCAGACTGAGCTGAAGTTTTGTCGATGTTTGGTTCCAATTACCCTTCGTTTGAATCTATAAAACAAACATCTGCAGCCAGTAAATTAGGACTCAGACATATAGGTCTGCTGTGACTTTTTGTTCCTGTGGGGTCTGGAGTTTATAAGCAGGAATCTGTGAGCATTTTTCCGCTTGTAAAGGGTTAAAGAGGCGCGATAACAGAGCAGAGCCACAGCCCTGTGTTTACACTGCATGAAGGCACAAGTTTACACCCAGAGCTCCGCAACACAAACACAGCTTCCTACCTCACACACAGGCACGGTGGGCAAACATGAAGGAGAAGAAATGCGTGCTGTGAATCCCAAACAACCACTGTCAAACTTCTCTCACAAAACAGAAGAACCTACCGAATGGACAGGTCAGGGAAACTGTCCCGAAAATGCACACCTCCTAAAAAAGCGCCGAGCTTCACTAATGCGTTCAATTTGAGCCGTACAGATAAGCCGTTTCATTTCGGCCGACCCTTTCTTTAGTTTTTTAACAGCGGGGCTATTTCGCAACAAGTTTGCCTTCTTTCTGCTGACTTTGAAAGGGCGATGAAAACTTCGAGCCTAAGTCAAAGCGCGGACGAAGAGAGTCAGCCCAACAGCCGCCTAACGGATTCACAGAGACCGGAAGGAGACCGGGACGGGGCACACCTGGAGGCGGACTGCGCGGCGCTTCCACCCCGCTGCTCTCCTGAAGCATCCGCGGAGATACTGGAGCCGTCGGTGTAAAAACATCAACTCATTCAGACAGCAGCTCCTCCATACTGAATCAATCACGTGTCTGACAGCCTACAGTGCTTCCGCAGTGGGCGGGGTCCACAGATGGTTTGGGGGGAAAAATATAACAGGATCCATGAATGAAGGCCGTCAGTCTGAGTCCACTCTGGATATGCTTGGTTTTCTGCTTGTTTTAATGTCTTGCTGAACCAGTAAGAAAAAAAAAAAAACATTAGAATGTAACTAATATAACCTACGATATATACTGCTCAAAAAAATAAAGGGAACATTTCACTTTAATTTTGTGTGGCTCCAAATCCAGGCCTCCATTGGTTAATAAATTTGATTTCCATTGATGATTTTTGTGTGATTTTGTTGTCAGCACATTCAACTTTGTACAGAACAAAGTATTCATTGAGAATATTTCATTCATTCAGATCTAGGATGTGTTATTTGAGTGTTCCCTTTATTTTTTGGAGCAGTGTAGTTTGTTTACATCTTAATTTGCGCAGATCTTAGCAGTACTACTGATTTGAAATTATGTTCAATACCTAAAAGACTTTAATTGCAATAAAAGAGCTTTACTATGTGGGTTAAATTATAACTAACTATTCCCTCATATAAACAAAAGAAATCATGTTCATCAAAAGTCAGATGGATTTTACAGATCCAGACATGTTTTATTAAAGAGACTAAAAATGTGTCCTCTTTTATTGTAGCTGGATTTTATTAAGTCACACAAGTTTAAAGAGATAATACATTTAAAAATAGCTAAGCATGATGATCAAATGGGATTATTTCAAGCCAGGAGGTAGATGGGTTAACCACCTGTGACCAGACTAGTTACTATCAGGCCTGAAGAAGGAATTGATGTTGGCAGAAATGCAGCAGCAGTAAAACACAGATTACATAAACACCAGCACTCATCTGAACAGAAAATGGGGCAATTCAGCCTTGTGTAAACGCTCTCTGGATGAAAAAACACACACTGACAGTTTAATAAGTATCCACTCAGCTGAGCCTGTCCACATTCGCAGCAGAAGAAAGCCAACGATGGGACGGCTCGACCCAGCAACACGTTCTGCTGACAACATAATTAGTATTGTTCCAAATTTGTCTACAGCTCTGTAAAACAGGGCAGCTAAAGAGTGTAATCTTGTCTCTGATTTAACACTCCTGCAAACAAATTCCCCGACTGTATTTGCTGCAAGACTAAAACTGCTTGTTGGAACAGGCACACAGCGAGCTAAACAGCTTCTGAGCACACATATGAGACTATCTGGTAGATTACAAACTTGTGTAGTCAGGTCATCTCATTTGGGTTGATTGGTTTTAATGGGTAATGTTCTCACTTTTCAGTAGACACTAAAGAGGAACTGTTGCAGCTGAACATTGTCAAATCAAACCATTTTCTGAGTTTGTTTCTCACCCAGCTGGTTTATTTTTGGTGTTTTCCTTGTTCTAAATCTGTTGTTAGTAGATTCACAGCAACCAGAATTAGTAAGAGACAGTTTCAGGCATTGTCTTGCACGTTTCACCCGCAGAGTATTCTTGACTTGCACCAACATGTCTTGGAAAGTGTGACTGTTCTCTGGTATCAGGTGATCTGCTGCTTCAAGTTAGAATTGTCTTTAAAATGTCTGACTGCTGCACAAAGACAGACAAGACAGTTTTGTAGCTAATCAGATCACTGACCATGTTTGATTCTGGAGTAAAGGCTCAACCAACACAATGAGAGCCACATGCCCAAGATTTGAATCATAAACATTCTTGGCTAAAGTCCTAACCACAACACAAATTAGCTTTCCTCTGTGCTCGTTGTGAAGCAAATATCATCAACACACTGCATTCTAATTCAGTTACTCGGTGTATTTGGAGCCCCATCAGAATGTTACTCCACTTGCATTCATACTAGAGGGCTTGTGATCAGATTGGGCTTCTTTCAAATGATTGGGTTGACTTAATCTAAACCACATTGGCAAAACCAGTCAGGGCTGGTCAACGTTCTGTTGGAGTTAAAGTGTTAAGCCAGACGGTTTAAAACACTGGAGCCACATAACATTCATTTGGAAAATGTGCATTTTACTCTTTATTTGGTGTTACGGCCCGCACAGGGCACACAACATAAAAGGTCCAGACCAAGTTATATAAAACAAAAGTTTTATTCAGACTGTGGCTGGACATAGAGGTACTGGGGAATCGTGGCAAATAAAAGAGTGGGAGCATTCACGAACCAGCCAGCAGTTGGCCGTCGGATTCGGGCCGCTCCCCTCGCCCTGCCTCGCCGGATCATTCACCCTACAACCAAAAACCGGAAAACCTCGGCTTGGCCAACGACCCCCAGACCTAACAACACAAAAGGAAAGTTAACCAACAAGAAAACACATTGAAGGAGCAGGAGCGAGGCATGGAGACACGCCACCAACCAGGAGCTCTCCCAACTTCCTCGCTGCCCTGGTGGGTGGGGCTTGATCCCTTTAAACTCTCGCCAGCCAATCAACTGCAAGAAGAAAACAGCAATTAAACAGGGATTCATTCACAATAGTGACAGGCGCCCGTCACATTTGGAAATCTATTTTAAATGATGTTCATGTGTGACTGCATTACTTAAAACCAAAATGTTTCACATTTTAAAAAATTAAGTAATAAATATATATGTTTAGTGCCCTGTGATGGAATGGCGACCATCACAGGGCGCCAGTCCATCACAGGGCGCCAGTCCGCCTCTCACTCGCTGACAGCTGGAGATAGGCACCAGCACCCTCCTGACCCCAATGGGATAAAGCTATAAGAAAATGGATGGATGGATGGATGGATGGATGGATGGATGGATGGATGGATGGATGGATGGATGGATGGATGGATGGATGGATGGATGGAAAGAGAGAACTACCAGTTATTATCTTTTATCAACAAATACATAATTTACGATTCTGATAATAAATCAGCTTTATTATCACAGGCGTTTTAGCATGCTTGTTTCTCACCTAAATTGTTTGAGTGCCTCAGTCGGCCAAGTTCATCAGGAAACACCCACTCTGTGCCCCCATTGTAAAACTGCTTTGACAGCAGAGGATGGATTTCCTGCACATTATAACGGGAAGATCCCATTCTTCCAGCAAAGTGATAGCAGAACGTACTCCAGAGAGCACAGCATTATCTTTCAGGAGATAAGCCAACGTTAGCGCATTTGTGAAAAACTGTAAGCTAATGCAATGAAAATGGGAAGGATAGGCTTGAGGTTAAATTCTAGTGTTATGCAAATGCAGCACATATGATGATAAACAGGGGAAATGGTGAAAACAACCGCAAATTGCAACAAGAACAACAGGGCTTTACTTGTATCCTTTAGGAATAATCGAATAATCTTCCTATTTTCCATTATGTTATTTAATTGTAAGATTTCATCCACCCACAGAAAGGGAAAAAAGCTACAATTGAGAGTGTTTGTGCATTCAGATAACCTAATTAGCGCCCAGGGTTTTAGTCGTTTTTGTCCACCGATTGATTAAATTAAGTTGTACAGCACAGAGATAATTTTCCATCAAGCCAAACAAATCCACCAAGATGCTGAGATGTTGAATTGTAGCTCAATTTGGCATCCAATATATGATGAAGGGTGCAACATAAGAGTAATGCAGTCTAAAAGAATATAGTGTTTTATATTCTGTAATACAATTTAAAAGTCATGTTGAAATTAAACAGTTTGTTTTTGCACTTTCAGAAGTACCTCTAACATTTTCTTTATCAAGAGATTGGAAACTCCTGTGTGAGGGGCAACAAGAGTGCACCATTACATTAGAAATCCATCAGAAATGTGTGTTGATGGGGTCTGTGGGGTCTTATAAGGGTCCTGTGGGGTGCATCAAGAACACATTGTGCTCTGCAAGTATCAAATGTATTTATACGGCACATTTTAAAACAATGTTGACAAATGTTGATCATTTCATTTCAAAGGTGGTTCACAAAGAGTAAAAGCAACAACGATAAAAACAACTAAATCATTAAGAACAAAACATAAAACAAGAACACTTCTGAAAAAATTTAAACGGGGCCTGCCAAAGTGTGAACGTCACATAGGACCCACTGTTCTAATACTAAAAATTAGCATCAATGCTAAAGTAAGCTACAATAGCATGTGGAGAGTCACAAGCATGTGGAGTGACATGGACTTACTCCATTCAGTGTATAAACTAATACTAAACATAATAAATCAATTTTTAAAAAAATGCTAAAATGCTTGCTCTGCAAGGAAGTTCACTAGTGGGGGGCAATGAAATGCTAAGTTTCACTTAAGCAGTGAAATGCGAATATTTTTGCTAATGTTAATGCACCAGTACACTAACCTGGGAGAAGGAAAGAGCTAAAATGCTTATTTTATGGAAAAGGGTAATATTGAGACTTGAGAGGGATATTGAGACTTTTATTTTGAAATTTTAGTAAGCTTCATTTTAAAGGGCCACTCTAATCCCATGTGTAACAGCAGTTGGTTTAAACCGTCATAAAATACCCAAAACAGGAATTACCTGACGTGAAAAATATGAAGGCTTTTCTTTTGTAGGGTATGCTCTTATTTTGACAGCCCAAAGTTATTGTCTGTTTAGGAGTATCAAGCTTTATGAGTCATATGGAACTTACTTCCTGTATATGTGAGAGTTTTCTGACTTTTCAGAACATGTGGCCTGAAATTAGAATAAGGTCTTCCAACTTTGATAAGATGAAAGTTGAAATTGTTCAGGAGATCATGAAGAAAATCCCTGTAGACATTTAGAGGAGCTCCAACACTGCTGCCACTGCCTCATGTCTCAGCTTTGTCATAACGCGGCGGTAGCATTATCCTGATGCGGCCTGATGGCTGCACCTCCTGACTGAAACATGCCAGGTTGAGGTCCGAGGTGTAGTGCCACCGGAGCTGTGAGATGTTAGTGGGATTGTGCTGCATATTTAGCCATGTGCCTGATTCCTTTATATTGGTTTGAAAAGGTTACCGTCATGAGGAATCTGTGTTTTGTTCCTGGAATCTCTGTTTTCTTAGTCTTTCATTGTGTTTAGTTGTATTTCTGGTTATTCCTCTCTTATCAGACATTTCCATTTCTTCTTGCATGTTTTCTTCTAGTCAAGTTTCCTGAATCTTTAGCCTTTTTCTCCCCAAATGGGTTAATTAA